CTGCCTATGATGAAAAGGAGAAATAGAGCTGTGTGTCGTCAGAGCACTGACGGCAGCACACTCCAAAACTCCAGATGACCCCACTCAGCAGTCTCAAGTCGATGGTAAACAGCAGGGGGGACCCCCAAGGAACTCCATGCTGGAGAATCCACCAGGCTGAACAATATTCCCCAAGCACCTCCTTCTGGAGACAGCCCGCCAAGTAGAAGTGAATCCACTGCAACACAGTGCCGCCCGCTCCCATCTCAGCCAGCCACTCCAGAAGACACCATGGGCTGAGGTATCAGCAGCTGCTCAGAGGTCCAGCAGTATCCACAGGGTCTCACCCCCACATCTTGCTCCCAGCATAGGTCCGTCATACAGGGATTTTGCTTCCATGCCAAAATCAGGCCTGCAACAGACCGTTTAAAACATCATAACGTGTTCACAAGATGCTGCCTTTCACACAATTTTCTATGTAGTGAGAATTTTTAGACTGGAAAATAAAATATTGGACATGCTGTCTCTCTCACACACATACACTCACTCACTCTCACACACTTTTATATTCTGCCCTGGGAATTGTATCCTGTGAGAGTAAATAGGACTTCAGATAAAGACTTTTCAGCAACCAATGAAACTACAATTCCCCAGGCAACCCAATGAAACTACAGTGTCCAGGATGTCCAGGATGTCACAGTTTATGTCTGGAGTACAGATATTGTCCCTATCATCACATGAGCTTTAGAGAGTACTTTTCTTTCCCTGCAGTAATACTTAAAATGTTGGTGCAAGATCAATCTGTCTTAAATAAACAGAGCTCCCCCTGGCCCCCTCAGAAGTTGGCAGCTATTTTATAGGTTTACATAAAATTCTCTTACGGCGTTGTGGCATTTGGAGAACCTGGTTATCTGCAAAGACAGTTTCTGTTTATCGCAACTGACTACCTGTCCCTTTTCTCCAAGCAATAAGAGAATTATCTTTATTAAAGTTTGAATTAAAAACCTGGGTTGATTTTTTTAATAATTAGACTGCCTTGCAGTGGTAGATCCTTGGAAGATATTACGAGAGATTTCAGTAAAAGTTCGTAAATATAGGATGCCATTAATTCATTTAAATTCATAGCCCTGCTCATTTTGAAAGCTTGGGGCAAAAATAATATAAACGAGTCAAGGAGCTTTCAGCACAGGCAAAAGCCAGATTAAACAGATATGTCTTGCAGAGTTTCTGAAAAATGCTCTGACTTTACCAAGTTTCAAAGGGGAGGAAGTTCTTTCAACGTCAGACAGTCACAAAGGATAAACTTTGGTGTGTCCTTCATTGCTTCACCTACTGTATGTTTCACATTGTGCAGAGGGCACCTGCACTCTGGCCTGTGGGAAGAGTGTCCCCAGGGCTTGTCGGGTTTCATGGAGAGGAACAGAGGAGCACAGGTGGCCTGTACCAGCCTTGAAATAACTAGGACCCATCTGCCCTCACCCTGAATTCCACTCTGGCCTGGGCTTCCTGTTGGTTTTTTATTATTCCACATTGTTTCTCTGGTAAAGGACCGGTGTATTTGTGCAGATTTTGAGGCAACAGGCGAATGCGTTGCTGTTTCATTATGGTTTGCTGCTGATGGTTTAGCATTTTTTAGGATCTATCTGTGATTTTAGAGTCATGATTTGAATGTTGTAAGGCATTGTATTGTGTTCTATGTAGGCTGTTGGCCCTCCTGGATGCTTTGTGAGGAATGGCAGGATATAAATAAAATAACATAAGTACCGAAAGGAGCTCGATCTTCTACCTAGATTGGCCCTTTCCTGTTGCTTCTGCCCACAGCTGGTCAGGGTATAAGGAGAGAATAGGACAAAAAATGGACAAGAGTCTTGTGAAGACCTGGTGCCACTGTGCATCCATGCTGTTTCTCAACCCACTTATGAGTAACCCTTTCAAAATATCAAGCTTATTTCAATGTCAGCCAAGGTCTTTGTCCCATTTTTTATGCTCCAAAGTTCACCCACATAACCAAGAAAAGCTTAAACTCATTGTATGTACCTTCCAGGCGGGAACCCCTTGTACAGTTGTTATCCTGTAAAGTACCAAGCTATGTAAATAATACTGACACAATAGAAATAATTATACTATACTTATTCATTTATTTAGGAAACTTCTATGCCGCCCCATTCGCCGAAGCCTCGGGGCGGCTTACATCCATAAATAAACATCCTTAAAATAATATAAATTTGGTCACCCTGGCCAAAGAATAAAATGAATAAATATTGTAAACAATTAAAATGACATTTGAATAAAAATGTCCATTGCACTTTTTTAGCCCACTTTTCAAACGATTATTGTCTCCCAAAGCAGTAAGACAGAAAGAGGCCCTGCCATCACACTTGCAGACTAAAACAACAAGCCACTCAAAGAAAGGGGAGTGGAGCGGAAAGGATGAGGAGGGAGACCCGTTTTTCCAAGGGACAAAGTGGTCAACTCTAAGTGGGTCTTTAAAAGCACCTGGAACCAGGCTGATCTTCCTTTGCTGGCATCCTTGCGTTAATGAGGCTCTTCTTCTTTAGACCGATGAATGTTCTTCCTTCTGCAGCCCCATGGCAGCGGTCAGTTGGCACCTTCAGTGGCTTCTTTTGAACCTGAAGGATGAGTTAGGTTTGTCTCCCCTTGGGCCCCATGACATTCCGGGGGTGTGTGGGATGGTGCAGCCTCTTGGGAGCCCTGTGTCCCTTGACAATTGGCCAACCTCAAGATAAGCAAGGCCCATCCAAACGCCAAGGTAAGCAGGAACAACCCAGGAATGTTGTGTAGCTTGGCTCCACCTGGTGTGTCTGGAGACAGTGATACTCAGACAGTATTTGGTAGGGAAGGAGCCTGCCACTGACCTGTATGGCCTCAGATGGACATTAAGGAATAACCCAAGGGAGAAATTATATCATGTTTAAACCGTAAGAAGCCCTAAATTCTAGTCAAGCTAAATTCAAGCTTTGCGCCTGACTTACTAATACAAATTAGGATGTTTTCTATTTTTATCATTTGTTCAGATTTCAAGAATCATTTATATTTTATGATCTATTTTTATTTTTTTAAGGAAAGGAAGGAAGCAAATGAAGTCTAGGTGGAAAGAATGTGACACACACAACATAATAGCATCTTTGGGTTAAAGCCCAGGAAGCTTTGCTGAAAACGCCATTTGGTGTTCATTGAGCACAGCCAATATTCAATGCTTTCTCTCCAGGCTAGAATATCACTTTCTTTTTCTGTTAAAAAGATAGTTTGGCATGAAATACAAGACAGTGTGATGATTTCTTCTTTCCAATGAACCTCTGGGCATATAAGATATGTATTCATCAGTTAATGTAGTTTGTTCATTGGAAAGTTGATCAGGGAGATTTTAAGGTATGAGACATGGGTCCTCAAACTAAGGCCCGGGGGCTGGATCCGGCCCGCCATGCCCATTTGAACCCACCATGTGTGCGCCCGTGCCTGCTGCCGCCCACCTCACCCCGCCCGCGGGGAAGCAGCGGTTTGCTTGCGTGGAGGAAACAGTGTCCAAGTGAGTAAGCTGCTGCCTCGTGTGCCCACCTCGCAGTGCCCGCCCTCTTCCGCCACGCTTCCCCTCGCTGTGTGCGCCCACCTCGCCGTGCGCCCCACCCCAGCCTCAGCACGCATGCCCACACGTGCCACCCCGCGCCAGCACTGCCTTTCCGGCCCATGCCTAGCACCAGCAGCTTTCAACTGGCCCCCTGCTGGAAAAGCTTGAGGACCCCTGGTATAAGATGCTAGAGCTAAATTATCATTCAGACTGGACTTACATTGAGTTGTCATTTTTTGGGGTGTATTTGGAAACTTTCACCTGATCCATAAGTTGCAAACATGCCTGGCCTTTGTGGCATTTTTGCTTTCACTTCTGCTGGAATGATTGAGCTGTGCAGTGTTTCAAACTTATTTTTGCCAAATGTTAAAGCAGGTGCAAACTAGAACAATTATAAAAATATTAGATAGGTGCAAGGCATTTTTGCATGCCTTGCACTTGCTAAGCATCTCGGTGCCCAGCCCTGTTTCTTAACAATCCTGAGGTTTTTAGAGCAGCCCCAACCACATATTTTCCAGGGCTTAGAACTGAAATTCCCACCTCTTTAACCATTGCCATGCTGGTTGGGGCTGATTGTAATTTTGCAGCACCAGGTTGGGGAGAGCTTCATTACTGGAAAAACAGGATGCAAAAGTGTAACACGAAATTATTTCTCCTTTCTTCTCAACTATGAAGATAGTCTTACATTTATTTCCTCTGTTGTCAAAAATATTAATTAAACTAAGGTCATTATAGGAATGGGTGAAGGAGCAATGTTTGAGATCATCGGAATTCTCCGGACATCATCTCGCTGCTTATCTCGTTCAAGTTTCCAGTTGCTGCTCAGTCTGCGCAAACGGGAAACTTGCACAAATCAGGCAGTGACTGAATTGAGAGATTTACACAGATTAACTAGGAACTAAGGGGCAGTCAGGAAATGCACATGGGCACATGTTCAACCATTTGTGGATAGTTTCAGCAGAAGTTCTTGCGCTCACATTCAGAGCTTCCGACAGGGCATGCTCCCATGTTTTGAGAGCAAAGCTAAAATTCTCATCCATCCCTTGGTAAGTATATTGTTGCTGCCTTCATATCCAATAACTTGGGAAAATGTGTGTCACAATTTATAGTAGTTTCTTTCCTATAACATACACTTCAATCTGCATTCTAGGTGATTTCCATAATCTCATGGGAAATGAAATGGAAAGGAACTGCAAGATACCTGTGTCCTAATGAAGTCATTGATTTCTTTCCTGACAAGAGAAATCAATGAAGGATTCAAGAATACAAGTTGAACTCCAGTGCTCATTGATTACAGCACAATGTGTTCTCTATGAATAATAGGCACTTCCTCACTTAGAGCCCTGTATTTCTAATACAGCCAATAAAGCACTATCTCTGTTGGATATGGCCCAACAAGGCTTGCTCATAATACATTGCAAATGGTACTTTGCAGGTTATGGTGGCAGAAGCACTAAACATTTCCAAGGAAACCTATTTTGCAATATTAATGGATCGAGCTTGCAATGGACCTGTTTTGGTTGGCAGCCCCCAAGGTGGAGTTGATATAGAAGAAGTGGCTGCTAAAAACCCAGAGCTCATCTTCAAGGTAAGTGTCAAAACTTGCTAACTTCACATGCAAATATATGTGAGGTGGCATGTTGTCAGAGTGCATTTGAATGTGTGCATGGCGAAGGATGACTATACCCCAAGAGCCACTGAAATGAACTGCTCATTTTCCAAATACTTCACCCATACAGCAACATACATTTTCAGGTGCACATCCAGGGCCAAACCAAACTTTACTTTAAATATGTGTCTAGCCGCTATACCATGTTTCCATTTTAATCTAGAGCCAGTACAGTACCCCAATCTAGTATGGCTTGGTTAAGGCAGGAATAAAATTGGAATCATGGGGGCCTGCGCCTAGAAACCACAATGGAAGCCACCTAATTCATACATAATACTAACCCATATTTATTTAAACCATGGTTTGTTGGTCTACACAATGTGTGTCTGGCAGACCAGCAAATAAACTGTTATTTGTTTTCTTAGCCCTCAAGTTGTTTATTTCCCTCCTTTACCTGCACCCACCCTGTACCCCAGTTGCCTTCAGTACTGACATAGAAAGAGACCAGTTTTTTGATCACTGCTGCCCACTGTCTCTATAGCCTGGATTTCCCATGAACAAACCAGGATTTGGGGTGGTTTCAGGTTTCATTCGTCTTATAGTTGGTCTTCCTCTTCTTCTTCTTCTGCCTTCGACTTTTCCAAGCATTACTGTCTCCTGCAAGTGAGTCTCACCTTCTCATGATGTGCCTGATGTACAACAGCCTCGGTTTTGTCATTTTTGTTTCCACAGCAAGTTCTGGTTTGATTTGAACTAGGTACCACTTGTTTGTCTTTCTGTAGGTCAAACATATTCACAAATCTCTCCTTTTTATAGCCATCTGTTCTTTAATATTACTGTAGGGAGTGCTTGACTACATCATGGCCTTGAAATACGATTCAGACCAAGGGCTCATCTAGTCCAGCTTTCTGTTCACTCAGTAAACAACCAATCACAGGAAGCTAAAATGAGGCCATGAGTCAAAGAGTGCTCTAGTGACTAGTGACTGTGGTACATAGGCACACTTCCTCTGACGTGGGACTTAGCATATGATCATCTGGACTGGTAGCCATGGATTGCCTTCTCCTCCATCAAGTTCACCAGTCCCCTTTTAAAACCATCCATATTGGTGGCCTTCACCACATTTTGTGGCAATGAACGCCATAATTTAATTATGCACTGTGAGAAGAATTACTGTCTTTTCTCTGTTCTGAACTTCCCACCAATCAGCTTCAGTGGATGACTCTTGAGTTCTAGTATTATGAGAAACTGGAAAAAAAGGTTCCCTTATCCACTTTTCCCACACTGTGCTTAATTCTGTACACCTCTGTCATGTCTCCGCTTACTCACCTTTTTTCTAGATGTTGCAACCTTTCCTCAAAGGTTGCAACAGCTCCAGCCCCTTCATCATTTCAGTCACCCTTTTCTATTTAGATTATATGGGGCAGTATGATAGTGACAGTTCTATTTTCCGTTTCTTTCCTAATCATGCCTAACGTAGAGTCGGCCTTTTTCACAGCAGCCACCCATTGGGTAGACTTTGCTATCAGGTGCTGCACCACAGCCTCAAGCTCTCTTTCCTGATCACTCACCGGGAACTCAGATCCCATCAGCTTCCGTTTATAAGTGGGAGGCTTTGTTTTAACATGCATTATTTTACACTGAGGGAGACTGAACAGCATTCGCCATTTGGAGAGATCCTTTAGGATCACCTCGTGATCCCATTCTGTTTTAACTGCTGAAAATAGTTTGGCACCATCAGCTAGTATTTCTAGTGAGACAATAGTGCAACTGAACAATTTGAAGTCCTTTTATATATTTGGTGTGCTAACTACACGTATGTATACTTTTAACAAATGCACAATTGAAATGTGCACTAAATGAGAGACATATTCCTGGGCATTGAGACCACTGCTTTGGTTCCTTGCCAAAACTAGTCATAAGAATTAACAGACCAAATATTCATCAACGCCATCTGTATAGTAATTAAAAGTGAAAACTGGTGTCAGATTGTCTTGTCAGCATGCCACCCTGAAGAATTACATGGTTTTTGGAGGGACTCTTTTCCATGTATGGTGTGGTAATTATAAGATACCCTATAGGCAGCTGCTATAGCCTCAGTCTCAGCATTTTGGCAACTTGCCATCTTTTAATTACTCATTTGCAAAAATATATTAAGCGTTTCTTTTTTACTTTTGAAGTTATGCATCTGTTTTCAAATGGAATATTCTCTGTTTATGCATTTCATTGTAACAGGAGGAAATAGATATCTTTTATGGTGTGAAGGATACTCAAGCACTACGGCTGGCAGAAAATTTAGGATTCAAGGGGCCTTTGCAACAGCAGGTAATTTTCATAGGGGGCAGTCCTTAACTGCATTCTCATGTCACCGAGCCATTCTAACTAAACCCTTTTTCATGTATGTTCCTTTGGAAGAGGATGGAAGGACTGTGCCCACTTCACGGGTTGCCTTGGTACCCCAGAACTCCCACTGTCTCAGGGACTACTGTCTTAGAGCATATTTAGCATTAAGGAGTTAGGGCAGATATTTCAGAGAATCCACGTGGGAAATATGAAAAGAATGGTTAGTATCCCATATACTCCAGCATCAGCATTAATGACACTGCCTCTAGAATATGCCAATGCTTGTGCAAAGTAAGTATTGCTTCAGAGGACAATGCACAGTATCCAGGGTCAAGAATGTAAGTTCTCGACCTCCTCAGCTTTAGAAAACAAGTATAGAAAGACAGTGTATCTTCCATGGCTTAGCAGAAATGTGTTCAGCCGCCAGAAAGAATTTTTTTCCATTGTGCTTGCTTGCCTGACTTTCCTAAGCCTGTTCTTTGATTCAGGTCATGCTCCATGACCTAAACATGGAACCGCCATCCCCCCAGCCCATGCCACCGAAGGATCAGAGCTACTTAAAGAAAGGCTGGCTCTGTTCTTATTCACTCTGCCAAGTTCTGGGGGCTGAAGAAGGCAAGGGAGAGTCTAGAGTGCAGTTGAAATGTGATGACGCCTATGAAATTCCCTAGTCACAGGGAGGCATGAAAGACAAGAGACATGTTTAGCATCCCTCTTATCCCTGATTGTATGTCTTTACTTTCTTCCTTCCCTATTTGTCACAGCATGTAAATCATTGTCCACGGGGAAGCTTTATAATCCATATAAACCCAACCCATCACCCTTCCTACTGGGGCACCATACCCAGGGAACTGTATGCAGAATATACAGGGAGGCTGGTAGCCTACAGCATAAAGTTATCCATTTGCACTCTGCATAATTATGAGAATGTATCTGATGACATACAAACAAGTAGCAGCTTGTTCTTTGGCAAATGCCATTTAAAAAGTTACTGCCTCCCCTACATCTGAAGAAAAATATTTTGCAAAGTTGAGATCCATGTAAAAACTCATTCAGCGTTACCCTTTTTGCTCCTGCCCCCTTATGCAGCTCTCTTCTGGCATTGTTCTGCTTTCTGGAAGACTTGCATTGAAAGTAAATGTTTGCAGTTTGATGTAAACAAACAAAAAATGGCCCGCCCCCCAAACCTATGCAGGCATATAAAATGTATATTTTCAGTGGACAGTTTACTCCTCTTAAGTGGAACAAGAAAGTGCAAGCCACCATGTTGTGATAATTCATTTTGCATCTAGCTTGATCTTTCTGTTACTACTTTGGGATAAATTGTTTTTGCACAGAATTTCCCATATCATCAAAATGCCACTTTTGTAAAACCTTTGAATTTTTAATACACCACTTCTAATTAATTTCTATCCCAACTGTGCAATTAACAAATGCATAATCATTAAGATGATTAACACCCATTTGAAGATTTAGCAGTATCTTTAATGAGAGAGAATTATTATTAAATCTTTCTAGCTTTGCATGTTCTAGCACTTAATTATTAGCACAATGCATGAACTGCTTAACTAAACAACAGCTAATATATTTCTTCCCATGTGCTCTAACCTTTGCAGTGTGATTTACTGGAGTATAGAAACATAATGGCTACATCAGTACAATCAAAGGTCTATTTAATTTAGTCCTATCATAATCATTTATATTCCCCAATAGGTAGACACTGAAAGAATCCTAGTACTATAATAAAAGTCTGATATCTAACATGCTGTGGAGCCCTTGTGCTGAATGTTGATACCGCTTGATAACTTGTTTGGGTGTTGTGAGGGGGGAGGTTTTTAAATTTATATTAAAACAATGCATTACTATCTTTATTATTTTTAAGCATTAATGTGGAGATTCTCTAAACTTCTCAATATCTCTGTCATTTGGTATCAGGTGTGCTGATGTGCTATTAATTTATTCAAACTCCCGTCATTGGTTCTTACCCTACTTGTTGAGTAGAACTGCTGATTCAGAGTAAAATTTGATCCATTGTTGAAAGCGTTGATTGCTGTTCTGTGCACATTTGTAAGTGATGGACTTGCATATGTCCATGGGAAGTATAAACCCCATTGGAATGACAGAAACTGTCTTAAAGTCTGTCTTAAAGCCTTCTCTAATCTGGGGCCTTCCAGATGTGTTGAGCTGAAACTTCCAGCATTCCTAGCCAGCATGTACAAGATGCTAATAACAATATCCACAGATGAAGTGGGGCTGGAGTCAGCTCTTGGGGAACTGGCTGGACTCACCACTGAGACCTGTCCATTAAAATATTCTCCCAGCCTGCTACTCTGAGCAGCACCACATGGCTGAGTCTGGCTGCCATTTTAATTTCTCGCAATGCCACTTGTGGAGTGGAATTCTGGGGCATTGTGGGAAATTAAAAGGGTGACTCTCAGTCATTCAGTTCTGCTGCCAGGTAAGCTTGTGTAGAAGATTATACTTTTAACCATTATACAAAAAAGGGTGTATTATCAGCTGCAGCTTTTTTTCTTCCTCCTTTACGAATTCCTAATTGGTACAAACATGTCTGTATATAGGTACTTGGTGCTCCGTTGCATCTGCTTGACTTACCTGCATGTGTCTAGATATAAATACATGCTTGAAGCACTTTAAGGAATGCTCAGGGATCCAGTGCTTCTCAGATGTCTTCAGAGTGCTTCATGCAAGGAAGCCAAGACAGAGTATGCCAAAGGACAGATTTTTTTAAATTTGAGTTGTCTGTGGCAGAGTGTCCCTTCTGCCTCTTCATATTCCCTTCTGCTCTACTCTGCTTTGCTCTTTCTTTCCTTTTTCCTCAAGGAGATGTGCAATGACTTGGCTCAGTGAAAGTAAAAGTGGAGTGGAATTTAAAATGACTGCATTCTGCAAGATTGAACATTAAGTTCAAGGTTATATTATTCCAAAATTTGGAATATTGGAATATGGAAAATTTGGAATCCAAATGCTTTTTGTGGAGATTTAATTTTGATTTCTAAATACTTATTGCATAACACAATTGTTTTGTGCTGTTTTGTTCTGGAACATTTCAGAATAACAAAGGGAAAACTAGAGGTCCTTGCTTCAAGGATGTCATAGTTTAGATTTTGACCAAAAAGGAACAACATGCCCTGGCAAGTACAAGAGTTCCTGAGCAGACAAGGCACTAAGGTTTCCTCAATGTAAAAACTTTGAGAATTGTTGCAGAAGCAAGCAACCCTCCCTTTGAACGGACTGAGGGGAGGGGAAACAATTTCCACACTAAAGGATTTGATCAGAGAGAGAAGCAACTGAATTGAATGTTCTATAACTCATTGAGCACACAATGAGTTCTGGCATATGTCAGGGAGGAAGAGAGAGATAGAAGGTTAAGCATCATCACAGCATTAACATAAAAATACCCTGCAAATTTGTCCAGTGGTCCTGGAAGATCCCTGGCTGACTCGACCAGGAATTCCTAACCAACCAATCTTCACTCCTTGATATTATTCATTACTGAGAGCAGTGAAATGGCAAAGCAACAGCTAGAGTGCAGAAGACTTGCAACAAATATGACTGAAGTTGGAGCCTACCTGAACGCCTATTCTGTGGTGGGGATGGGGGCATTATGGCACCTGCATAATGGTGGCCAATGGGAATTTTTCAGGTGATTAAGGACCTGCTTAGAGCAAGTCCAATAGGTCAACATGGTGAACCCTTGAAGGTCTCTTGTTGACCGATCTTCATTCTGATTTGCTGGCAGAATCACTCATACCTAAATTCAGTGCCACAGTTTTGATAGAATTGGAAACGGATATCGACAGTGCACCATCTGGTCCTGTTACGGATACATTTCGGGTGTTATTACCTGAGGATGTGGACAAGCTGCATGGAGGGATGAGGTCAAGCACCTGTTCTTTGGATCCTTGCCCATAATGGCTTGTGAGATTTACTAGAGCTGGGCTGACCGTGTGTTATCATTAAAGGATGGGCTTGCCCCATTGCTTTGAAAGAGGCAGTGGTGAAATCACTTCTGAAAATAGTGAATTTTATATTTCTTTGGCTTTGGAAAATTAGCACGCAGTCTCTAGTGTACGAGTTCCTGAAGTGGTGGTGGCTCAGCAACTGGTCTTGGAGGACCCTGGTTATTTAGATCTGGTTTGATCTGGATTTTGGACAGAAACTGCTGTGGGAAAGGCTGATGCCAGATGTGTGACTCCACTGATCCCCCTGGACTTCTCAGTGGCCATGGTATCCTTCTGGACCATCTCTGGGCCACAGTGTTATAGCAGCTCTGGCCTGTTTAGAAGGTGGAGGACTTTTATTTCATCCTATGGCCATTGTCCTTTGTGGAGCTTCAGGGCTCAGTCTCGCCCCCTCTGCTTTCTGTTAAATGACTGCATGAAACTGCTGGGGGCAATAATCTGAAGGGTTGGGATATGATTTCCCCAGAAGATCTTCCTTTTTTTTTTTTTTTTTGGTTAAAAGTAAACCAGCAGTTGCTTGGGCAATTTTACTCCTGGTCACACATCAACAATGTTTAAAGCAAAATGAGTAAGACCTGGGTTTTGAACTAAATAACCCAATTTTTCAGTGCTTGTTTCTGCAGTGAAAGTCACATTTTGATGTAGGAAGAGTGGGTTTATGTATTTTCCAAACAAATTCAGCAACTAATCTGCATTTGTCAGTTGCATATTGCTTCACAGTTTCTGAATTTAGTCTCATTAAGGTAATCACTTTAACTTTAATATCAGCATAATGTATTCATTATGAACTCTCAAACTTGGTTCATTGTGCTTAAATTAAGTTTGTTTGAATTAATGATGCTGCTCTTTCTTACTGCAAAGCCCTATTTAGTGCACTGTGAAGAGTGAGCCTTTATGCAGTGTTTGACAGTGTTTTGAAGTGGCAATCTATATGTTGCTAAGAGATCAGCCACTTATTTAAAGGCAACATAAAGCACTTCCATTTAATAAAGGAATGTTAACATTTTAACCTCTCTTAGCTGTTGTTTCACTGATGAAGAACATCTTTAGGGTTTTAATTTACAATAATTTTCTTTCTTCCCCCACTCCCTCCTTTTCCTGTGTAATTGTGCATCACATTTTCAACTTTAGGCTGCAGATCAAATTAAGAAGCTATACAATCTTTTCCTAAAAATTGATGCCACCCAAGTTGAAGTGAATCCCTTTGGTGAAACGCCAGAAGGACAAGGTACGCAAAAAGAAAGAAAAGGGGAAAGGGTATTGATCCAGCAGAGAAACAAGGATTTTTGGATAAAGTTGCTTTATTGTGGGAGGTTTGTACTACTGATGGCTGCTGACAGAACATTCCCAATCTCCTAATCATGGCTAGGTGTGTGTCATGGGCGTATCCTTCTGCTCATTTTAGACCTGCCTATGCAAAATTCACCCTTCCATGGTTTGTTTAACTATTGTGAACCATTGATGGCTTAAACAGGATTGCTTTTGCAACCATAACTGGGCACCTACTTTATACCAAGCTGTCATTGCCAAAGAAACTGATTTCATAGAATTAATGGCATTTAATTTCTTAACAATACAACTTTCCCCCCCAACTGTGTATGTGTACACACTTAGTTACTACCATCTTTCACGCAGTTCCCCTTTCCAGTCCAGCTTCCATCTTTCTCTGCCTTCTCTCTCTCTCCTCCCTCTCAATCTCACACACATACTTTTCAAGGTTACAACTGATTTATTACTATTATTATTTCTCCCACAATGTGTGTAGGGAGAAATAATGTTCAGGACCCCAGTGTTTCATTTCTGTAATACAGAATGTTCCAAGGTGGGTTTGGGTTGGGTGGAAGGGAGAGAGCTTTCTAAATAAAGAACAGCAGCAACAACTCCAAAACAACAGTCACATTAGAATGAGGTCCAAATCGTAGGACACGAGTGTTTGGTGAGAAAAGCCTTGAGATCATTGACTCAGGCTTCACTGTATAAGCATGCATAGTATTATTATTTATTATTCAACTTATATTCCCTTATACTAGTCCAAAGGCTCTCTAAGCAGATTACAATATTTCATAAAACAATAATAAAACAGCATACAATAAAATGGAGAAATATGCAGCTGAGGTCAGATATCAATAAGTTAAAATAAATTAAAGCTAAAAACAGTATGAATAACATTCAAATGTGTCCTCATGTTTCATGGCACTCTGGCTGTTGATATAGCCAGTGAAATGAGCGGCAAAAATAGGTAAGAACAGGCCATTCGAAGGCTGTAAATAGAACAATGTAAATAAATCTAAAGTGCATGAAAATGTGTTTCTAAGCAAATAAATTGTAGAAAAAGAAAAGAAAACTCTTAATGGCTGCATTGATTTAACATATGACTTTTCTGTCTTAGTTCTTCTTAGTTCGTGCATTGGAGAAAGTTGTGGTCAGTTGTAGCCTGCACAGTTCAAGCAAATACCATAATCTTGTTCAGTAATGTTTTATCTGGTAAATAAATCCAGGAAACAACCGTCCACCTTTGTGAAATAGAATGTTTTGGTCTTTAGAGTGAGGTTCTTTGGCTGCTTAATGATTTTCTTAAAAGCCACAGGTCCTTGGTGATAGAAGCAAGACACATTTCCCTTTGCCTTAAAGATCTATTCTTTTCAACACGAGGATGAAACGTAGCAAAGTGACTTTAAAAAATAGCACTAATTTATTTACTGTAACATATGACAATAATTCAGAAATTGAATTACAGTCATGATTAAATGTGTGTTTGTTGTATGGCTATAACTAGTCAAATTAAATACAATTATTGGAGGGAGTGATTAATGATCAAAATTTTAAAATCCCTCCATACAGGAGCAGCTTTCCCTCCCTCCCTTCCCAGAAGATCCCTATGGCATTTTGGATAGATTTGCAAAACAAGAAGGAAATATTTCTGAATTATTATTCCATATCTTGTAGTTGGATTCTAGGTGAGCTGAGACAGCATAACTGCAAAGAAATTAAGAATGGAATCCTGTTTCTAGCTACTTGTCCATTGTCTTTACTGACTAGCTGTGAATTTGTGAGGTAGGATCCCTTGCTAGTCATTTGTGGTGAATCCCATTTAGCAAGGGGTTGTGACTTGCAAATTAACACTTCAGCCTTGTGCTGTTGCACATGTTCCATACTTTTACTGGAAGCTTGCACAGGAGATTGCTGTGCCAGATTGTACTTCCAAGATCCTGCTGCCAGTCCAGGGGTGACACATGACGAGAAACCAGAGGAAGTGAATAGCTACACATAGCTTGCATTTCAGATCTGATGCTAGAAGCCCATGTGAGCTCTTCTTGCTTAGATCCTACTCATTTTCCCGGTTAAAAGTATTTTAACAGCCGTACCACTATTTTAACTGTATTTCAAATGCCTCTTGTAATGTGTTCTACACATCCTTATGCAGTCAAGACTGATTCAACAATCTTAAAATCACCCTCACTAAACACAGCCATCTTTTTTGTCTGTCTTTCTGATTCTCACTCACCTGTCAAAATTACTGTTGCTGCTCCATCCTCATCCTCATCCTCATTCCTATTGTTTCTCTGTCAGCATATGTATTTGAAAACAATGTTGAGGGTCTCTGTCTCTCCCTTTCATAATAAGCAATTCTTAAGGCAGGTTTGGGGTAGATGAAAGTCTGTATAATAGAGATTGCATTTGATGCTTTTCTCTATATTCAAAAATGTTTAAGAAGTACACCGTTCTAACTTACTTTCTTACTAAAGAACAGAAATGCCATCCAGATGCTTTGTTTCTAGCGATACACCCACTTCCAAGCAATAGCCCTATGTAGGCATTCTCTGCTTTTCTGTAGGGCAAAAGTATGATGTAGGATATGGATGAGCACATGAGCGGCACTCCCAGTGTCTTGTGGATTTTGCCGGCAGTGAGATGGTCTGTAAAAGGCTCTGTAAGCGCATTCGGTTGATCAGGCTAGGTTGGCAGTCGCAGAATCTCGAAGCACATTGAGCTGCGCACGCTTACAGAGCCCTTCGCATGAAGTGTAGCTGACATCCGGATGTGCGGAACAGTGAGAGCAAGGTTGACACACATGCTCCCCCCACACTTCTTTCCCTTTGTGCAAGCAGGTTAATGCCTGCCTGTTTATTTCTTTTAGGATATAAATAAAACCATGACCCATTTTAAAAGTCTCAAAGCGCATGGGAAGAAATCATACAACACAACACATTGTACAATACAGTCGTACGACCTGCCCTTGTAAAAGCACAAGTTAATGATTTTAATACTCACCCCAGCCACATGATCACCACAAATCGGGCGCACACGTGTGGTTCATCTGTGTGTGGAAGCGTGTTTCCTTGTACAGGCCTCCCAGCGAGATCAGAGTATCTGCCTCTACTGCTCTAGAACAGTAAGACACAGTGGGTTTTTTTCAAAGAAAAAGAAGTAGCCAGAAGCAGGTTTCAATAAGCGTATCAATAACTGTGGATGAAATGTAAGAATTTCATTTAAATAGAATATCAGTAGGAAAATTGTAGAGGTACGAGAGATGGTGGCTGTACGCTGCATGTCTATGAAAACTGGTCCACGGGAAAAACAGCAGGAAGGTGCTACAGTTTCTTGTGAGTTCCCATGGGCTTCTGGTTGGCCACGGGGGGAACCGATAGGCCTTTGGCCTGCTCTAGCATGGCTCTGCTTATGTTCTGAGAACTCAAGAACGGGAATGGTGTGTATCTTTTGTTGCTGACGGGTGTATCTCAGATGACTACTGTGCCTTTCAGCAGCCTCCTTCACCCCTCAGACACACTCAGACTCACATGCTGACAGAGCCGGCTGTTGAGTTAGCAGTTCTAAGAGCTTTATGCCAATTGCAAAAATGGCCAAACGCACTCCTTGAATGTCCAAGCTGGAGCTTGCTTTGATATTTGTTCAAAAGAGAAATTCATTTGTATAATCTATCATGCATGTAACCATGTGCTTTGATGGTGGAAACTATTTTATAAATATTAATGGGTGAGCTTCTCTTCCTGCGATTTTGTACATAGCCTTGCTCTTGTTAAAGGGGAATGTTCTGTAGAAATGACATTTCAGTGGCGACATTAGAAAGGTTCTAATGAGCCCTTTCAGTGGTGCAACCAGGACTCTGGGCAAAGTATGGCAGGTCCATGTATTCTCCAATGATGCAAGGAGGTGTTTGGAGTCTGGCACATCTTAATTTAAGACTCCTAATAGCTCTATGGCAAATTAAGTTTTCAGTGTGCTGTTGTACATCACATAGGATGCTAGCCTACCACACACACACACCACCTAGAGGTCTGTAAGTCTCCAAAATTGTGAATGTTGTGAGGGGAAGGGGAGGGGGAGGGCAAGGATAGGATTGTGGCTTTAGGCCTGATTTTGTATAATTTGTTAGGCAAATGAAGTAGATCTTGGAATCTGCACTTTCAGTTTGAAAAGGTTCGGTACTTGAACATCATGCACCCCCATTTGAGATTTAAAATGACTTCCACAGTAACTCTTCAATGACTTGACTTTGTTTTCCTTTCATTTAGTTGTGTGCTTTGATGCCAAAATAAACTTTGATGACAATGCTGAGTTCAGACAAAAAGAGATATTTGCCATGGATGACAAATCTGAAAATGAACCTATAGAAAATGAAGCTGCCCTCTATGATTTAAAGTACATTGGCCTGGATGGAAATATTGCATGTTTTGGTAAGCAAATATACCTTATTCAGCAACTGCATTTCTGAAATTGCCGTCTCCATAAAAATAAATCCCAGCATTTGTGTTTAAATAGTGAGCATGCTAAATAAGGAAAAGGGATGACTTGACTTTCATGAAACCAAGACTCGCTCCCGTGTACCATCAAGTGTGTCGTCCGCATGCCCAGCCGGTGTATGAACCCATTCAAGATGGGGCTGCCTCTAGGTGCCTGCTCAGCCCTTCTGAGCCCAGGCAGGGCAACCACATGGTGACAGAGAGCAGTCTAGGCCTTCTCCGTCTCCTCGGTTACGTTCATGGCTCTCTGCCCATGGAAGAGGGGAGCCTCCTGTGTCGGGGGCGGGGGTCCCACAGGAGCCTGCATGCTGGTGGCATGGGGAGCCTCCATGGGTACAGGAGCCTCTCCTCTTCAGACAGGCATCCTCCAAAAACAGAGGGCAACAAACCCAGGGCTAGGGCGTGTATTGGTGGCCTATCCAGTATAAGCTTTTTGCTGTGTCTTGACTATTTGGACAGGACACGTTTCCATTTTTCTTCCTCCTTTTTTTCTCTTTTTTCCTTCTTCTGTCCCTTAATGCCAGAACACCCAACCTTGTAATGCTACTCATGGTACATTTTTGATTTGCCCCACCCTTCTTCTGGGGTGGGAGACAACATTCCCATGGGAGGACAACCTTGGCACTGTTTTTCATTCACATTGAACATCTGGGTTTCATGGAACTCTAATTTGAATCTCGAATTGTCCAGATCATGGATAGAGCCCATATTTAAACTGCATCGCCTGCACTGGAAGTGGATAACCCCGTGTGCTGCTTCTTCCCATGGAAACCCCTTCAGTCTCTTGAAATTCCCATGGATCCTTTTGAATGGGGGAGCTCGGCACAGCATCAGGGCTTAGCATGGTTGTGCTCCTGCCAACGCACACACCCCAGAACGGTCCCCCTGGCAAAACCCCCTTGGCCTTGCTTCTCCCCTTCACCGCTGCACCTGCTTGTTCACCTCCCTCCATCTCTCTGGCCAAGATGACGGTGGTGATGAAAAGGAGGCGCAGCAGACGCCACGGCCTGCCTGCTCCCTGGTTCTCTGCCTGTCGAGCGAGCAAGAGGGAACGGTGATGAGGAAGAGGAGGGCGAGAAGCAATAGCTGCTGGCAGGGTGGTGAGAACATGGATTCACTGAGGGAGGGGGCCACTCACAAGGGTCCTCAGAAACATGATGCAGCTGGCCTGGGGTGAGTTGTGCTGGGGACAGGGGCTGATCTTCCGAAATCAGACAGAGGGACCTTCTGCAGGTAAAGTCCTTCCTCTTGCAGAAAGCAGATCCTGGATATCAAACCTCAGGTTGACTGCAGGTTTGTCATTAAACAAGATGTCACAAGCCCACCCATTCATCCCATATATGGAGCAAAGGCAGCCGTGGAAGATTGGAAACTTAATATTAAAACTGTGTCTTCTCTTTTTTCCCTCTTGCAAGGAATCCAGCTCAGCTTATTTGGTCTTCTCCATTTTATCCTCAGAGCAATCATGTGAGATCGGTTAGGGTGAGAGTCAGTCACAGGCTGGCTGACCAGGGAGTAGAACCCAGATCTCCCAAGTCTTTATCCAGCACTAACCACTGTACCACCCTGGCTCTCAGTCTTGGTGGCCAGAGCCTCTACTGTTTGGAAAGGCTTCGATTTTTTCCCTCACTGATCGAAGTAAAGTGGGCAAAACAGCTGAATCAATCCATATTCAACTTAATTGCTTCATTCATTTTTTTCTTCAAAGCCCATGTAGGAAAATAGCCTAACTTTCTTGCTACTTGTGGTCTATAGAACATAGATTTATGCTTTCCCTGCTTAATTGCAAGATACAGAGATTGTGGTAGAGCCAATTTGTTGCTTTGGTACTGAGGTCTTAATCTTAATGGAATTAACATTAAAAAAGATTTGTAGCTCATTAAACCAGTAGCACCATCAAATTATATGCCTTACACATCCCATCCGGATGGTAGCTTTGTGTTCAGTTCAAGCAAAGCCCATGTGGAATTGCATCTTATTCCAGAAAGAAAGGAAAAAAGCTTACTTTGTAGAAAAGCCATCATTTTAATGTGCTACACCATTTTTGTCTATCTCACCCAGATGAGCCAACATATTTAAAAGACAGGCAGCAGAGTTGCCAGCAATTTTCTTAAAATAAAAATTAAAACATTGTTGTGAAAGCAATAGCCAGTGGGAATTTAGTTCAAAGGAGAAGTGAGTTTTCAAATGTTTTACTATAGAGTGTTAGCTTCATGCCAAGCTTAATAAAATTAGACATGGCCAGTAAAACTGCCCGGGAAGTTAAAGAATCAGTGGTGACTGAAAAAGGTTCTATAGGGTTTCTTTTGGCTCAATAATTCCCTGGGAAAGTACATGTAAATTAGGAGCATAAAGCTGTGAAAATGGCATTATGATCAGAATAGTTAAGGCTATGTTTAGTAGGTCCCTATCATAGAAACAGAGCGAGTCAGAAGGGGTCTCCTGGGCCATCTAGTCTGACCCCTGACTCCAGCCGGCTCTGCTCATGACATGCCTACCATGTGCTTGTCCAACCCATCCTTGAACACCCTCACCAATTGGGTTTCAGTCACTTCCCATGGAATCCCATTGGGGTCCTAAAAATGGAGGAGCGTCTTATACACGGGGGGCCAAGAGGAGAACCACGGGCGCACTCGGGCGAGACTGGCGCGGTGAGGGCACATGTGCGGGGAAGCAGCGAGGTGGCGGGCGCGCATGCACGTAGCAGCAGCTTGCTCACTCGGACATTGGTAAAGTGGGCGGGGCATCCTATATATGGGGGCATCTTATAGACGGAAAAATATGGTACTTCCTGGCATCCAAATTGAAACTTGGTTCCCTGAGCTTGGCTCCATTGGAACGCGTCCTGCTCTCTGCTGCAGGAGAGAACAGGTCTCTACCCACCTCCGTGTGACACCCCCTCACATACCTACATGTTACCAACAGATCCCCCCTGAGTCTCCTCTTCTCCGGGCTGAAAAGTCCCAGTTCCCTCAGTCTCGCGTCATACGGCTTTCCCTGCAATGCAGCCACCATCCTTGTCCCCTTACGCTGCACCGACTCTAACCTGGCTATATCCTTCCTATAATGTGGAGCCCACAGCAGAAACAGCTTTTAAAAATCCCCCGACCTTCACAAAATGTCTCTACCCACCTCCATGTGACTCCTCCTCACATACCTATATGTCGCCAACAAATCCCCTCAGAGTCTCCTCTTCAGTCAAGAGGAGATCCTTTAAGGTTGTCCCAGAAATGCATCGTAATAAGGCTCCACAAGTCCCACGGAGTCTCCAGAGAAGCTTTTGCTGGCATCTGTCAGGGCTGAATTCCTTATATAGACTAAGCAAGCGGCTCTTGCAGCAGAATGGCAGAGGGCATCTCCCCTGCTGCTCCTGGCAGAGGAGCCTTGCCTCAGGGTTGGCAGCTTCACAGAACATCTTTTCCTTTCCTAAGGGAAGAAGGAGAGCCAAGCTGGGTCCAGGCAAGATCCATCAAGTCCAGCATTCTGTCCACACACTGGCCAACCAGCTTCCTGGGGGAACCCCATATGAACAGTGGGAGGGCTGCAGCCCCTCCCCAGTTGTGTTCCCTGGCGAATGATGGACAGAACCATAGCACCCCTGATGCTGAAGGTAGCATGTAGCTTTCAGGACTAGTAGCCATGGTTCAACTTCTCCTCCATGGCTTTAGCTAATCCCTTCTTAAGGTTACCCAAATGGGTGGCCAGCGCTACATCTTGTGGTAACAAATGCCATAGTTTAACTAGGAGCTGCTCAGTTCCCAGTTTGCAGTGTAGTCAGTGATACGGTTCAGGTTAAAGGAGCAAGATGCTGACGGAAGGAACCCTTACCTTCCTCAGGGGTCCACCACCACCATTTCTCCCTGGCTTTCTTCTGCTTCCCATCCTTGATTTCACCAAGAAGCAGCAAGGGAACAAAACTTCTTACAGAGATGGTTTGGTGTTGTATGCCTTTTTCCGTGCTGGAGATCTTTTAGAAATTAAAGAGAGATACCCCATTCATTTCTGCTGCCTTGATGCTCTCCCTCCCCACCCTCTTTTACCACAAGGGAATGCAATCTTTATTTCATTTTTAGAAGCCCTTTTCCCCCAGAAGATGCCACATGCACTGTAGAGTGCAGCTCCAGTTGCCCCCTCCATCTTGGATCCACCTGTGCCCAGGTGGCTATGCAGCAGCTTTGGAAAGGGATTAAATTGATTGCTGTACAGACCCTTTCTGTGTAGTTACCTGTTCACACAAGTAATGCAGAAATAGGGCTAAGCGCTGTTCTGGACCCCTTCTTTTTCCCTTTCCACCAGGACTGAAAGAGGAGCTGTATGAAGAAAATAAGGGATGTCTGATCCTATACCAGGAGCTGGCAACACCCTGATATGGCAAAATTACACGTGCAGGTTGTTGTTTAACAAAGGGGAAAGCTGGTGGACATAATAACAATGCAGGGCTTAAAACTGGCTTGCAACAAGCTCTTCTTTAACCTTTTGGTGCCCCAAAGACACTGTAGGAGCCTTTTATTTGTTTGTTCAGTAGTGCGGATGTGCCTTTGGGTTAACTCCTTTAACCCAACTCAGAGAAGGGTTGGCCTCCCAAGGTTGTTCACCCACTCCTAGCTAAGTTCACACCGACAGTGCTTTCTTTTAAGCAATCCCATTTTTATTCCCCCATGCTTTTACATTTGGGGTATTTTAAAATCTTGCTGGTTGGTTCATTTGTTTGTCTCTGCTAGCTGTTGTTAGCACAGTTTGTTGTTGCTGCTGTTAGAAGGATTTCTCATTGTGATATTTTATTTGTATAAATTGGTCTGGAACCAATTCTGGGGAAGGCCAGTATATAAATATTTCAAATAAAGAAGTATTTGCAGTGTAAAAAAGAACACATCCAGGATTTTAGCATAACTGTGACTGGGCAGCAGTGTGTCCTGTTGCACACAAACAAAACTCTGCAACAAAGAAAGGAGTTTGTCTACGGTGTCCAGCGTAAACCCAGAAGGCCCTACTCCTGGCTCTGCGATGCTGTTTTATGCCCTTCTTTCCATGTATTGACATTTTATTGAGATTCTGGAAGCTCACAGGGCCATGTGAAATTGAATACAGATTATTTATTCCTTTAATTTCCAAATATATGTACTGCAGATGCTGAGAGCATGGCTTTATTTCTGGTTGCTCCTTTCACTGTGAATTTTAAATTATACCTCTCCCTGTCTTGGTTCAAGCTGGCCTGCATTTGGAAGTACCTTCCCTTTTACGCAGTGGCGCACACACACGTGCAACTTCTCCCACCTTGCCCCAAGCCTCATTAGAAACAATGTATGTATGGCGTAAACACCGAGCAACCAAATGCCCTTCTTCCCCTTCTGGTTCTGTGTACTGAGATGAGGAGTGCAGGAGGGAGCAGAATGGCAGTGCATGGCTTTCTGTCTCCCCAGAAGTCTTGTGGGTTCCAAGCCCTGCTGAAAGAGACATCAGCAATATCTTGTGGCTCACTTCCTTACAATCCCCCTGATTGATTAATATTTTCCATTATCTGGCTGAACTGAACTTGATGAAGTCAGTAGATTCCATTGGAACCCAGAGGACTTGCAAGAAAACTCAATTTGGGGTGGTGTGTGGATTTCCTTTCAGGCCTAATTCTTTCCTTCTCCCTCTGTTCCTCTTCTTTCCTCACTTCCTTTCTTTTCCTTTCCTCCCCCACTCCAATCTCCTAATATTGGCATTTTTAAGCTACATTCACGCATTCATATTTTACCCTTTAAAAATATAACCATCTGACTCTCTTAATTGCAGTTAATGGCGCTGGGCTTGCTATGGCAACCTGTGATATAATTTCCCTTAATGGTGGAAAGCCTGCCAATTTCCTGGATCTTGGCGGAGGTGTGAAGGAAGCGCAAGTATATCAAGCATTCAGATTGCTCACTGCAGATCCCAAGGTAAACTCTACTGACTTTTGCACCAAATATTCCTTATTGTTCTTAGGTGTTGTCTTAATAAATATACTTACTATACTTCCCAATGAAAGGCTCCTATTGCGGCCAAAGGGCATTGTGGAGCTATTCCATCTTCTCTTCCTTAACAGATTTTTTTTCCTGATGGGAAAAAAAGATGGAAGAAGCAATAGGAAAGCATGGGAGGGCCACAAATGGAAGATGACAATATCTGGTCTGCCCTTCCCCATAAAATTCCATGAACAAGGCAGTGTTGTCGAGCAGTACAAGCCTTGTCTAGAAGCCCATGAAAGCACAGCTGGGAAAATGGCGTTAAACACACCTGTTTTCTGAAACAGTGACACCTGCTCTTCACATCTGCTCCATCTAGTTCAACCCTGAGAATTTTATTCTAAAGGCTCACATCCTGAACCTGCAACATACAGACCCACCCACATCACAGTGCTAATCCAAGCCTTGCTGATATGCAGGATGCTGCTTCTGCGGCACATCTGCATTCTGGGCCATATAACTGGGTTGCTCATGTCTACACTTACTCTGTGAGATAAGCTCATTCTGAAGCTAGGCTCAGCGTAGGATCTCAGAGAAGCCTGGAGGAATTGGCCTAGGGTGGGGAAAGGATGGCCTTCCCCTTCCCCCTGAGGCACCTTTTCAGACTTGATATTACCTCAACATCACAGTGTGATCAAGCTGCAGGGAAGTATTCCTAGCTTAAATCTGCCACTGGAAAGCTTTCAACTGCTTTACATTGAGACTTTTCATTTTTCGAAGCCAACAAAAATAGAAAGCGTTTTGGAGTATGGCCAGTCCATTTCATCCTACAGGACCCCCTGCTGGTGGTGTAGGAGCCATCCCTTTGCAGCAAGCCCCCACACCACTGTGCTTAGCATCTGAGCACCTAAAATACATTGCCCCCTCTCACATCCTTGCTCAGCAGCACTGGGATCTGCTCCACTGTAGTGTGATACCCTGCTACTGTAGCATACGCGCATATGCCATCCCAGTGAAAGAACCAGGTGTAGCCACAGTTTCCATTTGATTGGCGCCATCCCTCTGGCCACGGCGTCAGTGGGAAAATGCATCTGTTCCCCAGCCACCTGGAATCACACCCAAGGGAAGCAGCCCCCATGCTTCTGGAGGAGTGTGTAAATAAAGAGAATGGGCAGGATCAGTGAGGCAGGAAGGGCCGATATAATAGCCATTGCCCCTGTAGTTCATGGACTCAGATTACTTCTGCGGGAGTGTGGCATCTTTCTTTATTCTAGCAGCATGGGGCTAAGGAAACAGCAACGTGAGTACATTTCTGCACCCATTTTTGCATAACTAGCTCCAAAGCGCCAGGCTCCTTCGGTTCCCTGCCTTCTGTGTCGAAATATTCAGAGGAGCAGCTACATTTGATCGTATCTTTTTTATCTTCCTCAATGTTATTGAATAATCCTATTTTCTTTTATCTGCTGCTTTGTTTTACTCTTTTGTCTTAGCTGTTTTATTTAATATTATCCATTTGCCCTTTCTGTTTTTTCATGGAAAGAATGGGCTTTGCTTTCTGAGCCAGAGAAACACCTCTGTGCCTGCCTAAGTTTGCCTCTCTGCCTCTCTGTTCTCTTCCACGCAGTCCACTTTTTTGCTTTCTCTGTTCTCGTCCAGCCGGCCTCCTGCTGGTTTCCAGAATTCATCTCTTTTTAAAGCCTCCCACTGGATAAGTTGAGCCCACTCCTGGAATAAGTGCCCCGGCAAAATCAGTGCGCCTGCCCTTGGGCACTTTGCTAATAGGAAAGTCAAACCTTGGCATGTGGGTACAATTGGTGCCTGCGGCTTCATCCACCATAGATTTCAAATCAGACAGAAATTATTACCACCATCCTTTTTAAAAATAACCTTTATTACTTTGGCTATGTCTCTCTGTACAGCAGCTATTGTTCCCTTTCCATTTTTTTAAAATTGCGGTTCTCTGCAAATGAGGCACTTCTGAACTGCCTGGTCCCTTGGCCCGGCAGTGGACCAGTTGTTTAGGCCTTTGCCCCTCGGGGCTGCGGGGGCCGTAGGTGACACTGCTGCTGTGCCGACAGGCCATCGGAGAGATAATTCTAGCTTTCACTTCCTGCGGTGACTTACTGAGAGGTAATGTGTGTGGGGAGATGGGGGGATTAAATTGGGATTTTCAAGGAAATATTACAGGTGATCAGTCTCCTATTAAACGCAGACATGCATCAGCTATCCATGGTGTTTGAAGAAGAATTACAAATTGCCTTTTATTCATAATAGCCTTTCCTGCTGGGCCGTTTCAGGCCATGTACGAGCTGCTGGAACATAATGGCTAAGGACATATTTGCAAGGCTGGTTTTAAGTTCTGCCTGCTCTCCTTCCATTTCTCTCATTGCCTCCCATTTATCTGCCCCTAGCTACCTCCTGTTCATGCCCATGTTGCTAACAGGAGCTGTTCTGCCTGCCTCTTCTGCCCCTGTAAGGCCGTCATTAGCAGCAAGATATTCATTGCGCGAGTCAGAAGGAACATTGGCGACCCCCCTCTTAAACACCTACGCTGGCCTCTTCTCTGCTCCTGATTGTGCCTCCTAGAAGGCCTCCACGCTGCTGCTGCCTCCTCTACAGTATTCAGATCTCCTCAGAAGTCACCCTTGTGAAGCTTTTGTCACAGCCTCCTAGTCCCCAAGCTATTATATAGCTTGGCCTGTAAGTCCGCCAATAAATATACAGACTGAAGGGACCGCATCTTGCTCCTTGCTTCCACTTCCTCTATTGTTTTCCCCTTTGACAAGCAGGGCTGACCCCATCGTGCGGCATCTGCCTCAGGCAGCAGACTTTTCATGTCATTCAGGGGCAGCAAAGCACTACTCATTTTCAGCACAACTCTTTGCTTGTCCAGACAGGTGACAGGCCTAATGCTCGGCCTTCTATCTGGGGAATACTATCCGAGGACTGCACTCGTAATTTATTGTTTTCGTGGTATTTTTTACTGTTGTGAATGTAAACAGTATAGAGGGAAGGGTCTTGTGGCATTTTCTGTATCAGGTAACAAAATAATTTTGCTGGTTCTGGATACTGTGCACCTTGACTTGAGGGAGGGCGAGAACCTTTTGCTGCTGTGCTTCAGGAAGCAAGGTTTGTGGCTAGACCTGATGACAAATTTAAGGTTGTACGTACCTTGGGGCAGGGGTCTGCAGTCTTGTACTCCATCCAGCACCGAGCACACTGATGGTTCTAGTCAAATACTTAATAGTAACACTGCAGCTGCCTCTGCTACAAGAGGAAGCAGTGGCAATAAGTCTGTTGCTCATCTCAGGCACGTGCTCTTCAGATTGCAAGACGTTGTCCAAAGGGGGCCCTTTGGACCACCTTTCCTGCCACAATTTGAACCCTAATGCCATGCTTCTCCTACTCTTAAATCTCTAGGGCAGGCCTCAGTAATGCTGTTTAGTTTTTCCACCTGAGGAAGCTTTGTTGACATGGCCAGGAGAAAGGTCTGCTTGTAGTGACTACTCGCTGGCCCAGCCCATTGCATCTCTGAACTGAACATTGGCATTCTTTCTGGGGTGGGGGAGAGGTGGGAGTTTGCTTCAGATGAGAAGTGATAATATTGGTGAGGGTAAGAGAGGTTTCTGGGAAAATCTAGTGTTTGCCATCAATGTCTCATTGTAATTAAGCTCTGTAAGTAGCACAGGAAGAAGAAAACTCCCTGTTTATCCAGATTATGGCTTTCTCAGTGGCTGAATCTTTGTCCCAAGATAATAATCAGCCTTTCCCAGCCTGGCCCCCAGTTCAAATACAACCTCCATCATCCCCCAGCCTGCATGGGTGGGAATTGTAGGTGAACACATCTGGAGGGCGCCAGGTTGAAGAAGGCTGAATTAAGTAATCTTTGTCTTTGCTGTGCTCCATTGGTAATTGGTGGTCTTTCTCTTTAGGGCACAATCCTATGCACGGCTAGGCATAAAAAGTCATAAAACTCCCAGCATGCCCCAGGCAGCATGGGTTGCTGAGGCATGCTGGGAGCATGCTGGGAATTGTATGACATCTTTATGCCTAGCCATGCATAGGGCTACACCTTTAAATAAGCATTTGACTCTGTTGTTGCTTAATTAGACTAACTGCTAGTTTGAAAGTGTTTTGGCTTTGCTGCTGCTCTTGTAAATGTGTTTTAATGATAGCTGTTCTTGCCTTGATGTTATCTAAGCCACTTTGAGCAACTCCTTTTTCCTTTCAAAATAAAAAAATAAACCAGCAGTCGCACAATGGAGCCGCCATGCAGCTCTGCCTCGACAAGGCCCCTGTCACATTCAGACAAACACTCATTTGTCAACTTTTGATAGCAAATATGAGAGAAGAAGAAGAGAAGAATATGGGAGAGAAGAAGTCTCCTTGAAATTAAGATCATAAGAAGAAGAGCCGGCTGGACCAGAGCGAAGGTCTCCCTAGTCGCTTCTCACCGTGCTCAACTGGATGCCTCAGCGCAGCCCACAAGCAGAATATGGGTGCTCTTGATCCCAGTAGCTGTTCCTGCAAGGCACTCTGTCATTCTGGACATAAGGGGTCGCCACAATGAGTAGTAGCCAGAGATGAATTCATTCTCCATGCTTCTATGATCGAGTCTGAACCCTAGAACCTTACACAATACACTATGGAATTCCATATTCCTGTGACCCATTTGTCACTATGACCAAGGCAGAAGGGTCACACCAAATGGTTTTTGCATATAGCTACCATATACATTACATTATAGGCATAGTAGCTACAGCATACAGGCATCATACATAGAAACAGGGAAACATGGAGCGAGTCAGGAGGGGCATCCCAAGCCATCTAGTCTGACCCCCAGCTCCAGCCGGCTCCACTCATGACATGCCTACCATGTGCTTGTCCAACCTATCCTTAAACACCCTCACCATTGGGGCTTCAACCACCTCCCGTGGAAGCCCATTCCATACCCTCGGGGTCCTAACCATCAAGAATTACTTCCTGGCATCCAC